CACACACACACACACACACACACACACACACACACACACACACACACTCACCATGTCAAATGTGGGTTTACTCAAAGATGAGCTTGTCCGTGGAGAGCATGATCAGACTGTCTGACTCAATCCTGAACAATGAAGTGAGCTAAGCACCCTGCGGGTACAGGTCAAACAAATGAAAGTATTAATCTGTCATGACATTTCATCCGTGTCAAATTTTGGACATGTGTGCCTATCTGTATGCTGGGGATTATTCAGCTCTGACTATCGCTGAATCACTGAACGTCCTACAAACAGATTCACCCTTAAAAATGTTCAAAAAAAATGTATTTTTCTATTGATTTATTGTTGAGTCAACAAAAGATTTTATCTTAAATCTAAATTTTTTTTCTCATATTTGAGACTGTGGAGGCCTAGTATTGTGCAAGGAAATATGATCTTATATGACAATGAGATAGTCGCAATCTGCATCGACTGAAATTAGATAAACAGACGTTTCTGACTCTCAGCCACATTTCAAAGTTGTGTGTATGGTGTGACTGGTTAGTAGGAGGAGACTTCTTGGTAAAAGATGGCCGGGGGCCCTTGATCGTTTTGTTTCATCGCTGCATATACGTTTTGTCTTGTGAGGTGTTTTCTCCCTGAAGAATCCTTTGAATCAGTCTAAGTTGGCTGAATATAATGTTGAGGCACATGGGCAGGTTGGGAGCCGTCCAACTCTCTCTTGGCGGTATAACAGCTTCACAGACCTCCCACCTTACACCCTGACACCTGCCAGTGCACATGTATGGGGGGGGGGGGGGGGGGGGGGGGGGTGATGGGTGATGGGTATCACCTCAACTCCTCAACATAAACCAGAGCTCCCCAGGAATGTCGAGCTATAACAGGGATCAGATCTGTTTTTGTTTTTTTCTCCGTGATATGTTCCTTCCTCTTGAATCTCCTTTTGTTTAACATATGTTTGCGTTAGCTTAACACCGTTTGGTCAGGGTTTCGCATGTGGGCCACCAGTGGTGTGTAGCAGGCGTTATTTCACATTTATCTTGGCTTTTGGGTGGCTGGGCTTTTCATTCATTAAGGTGAGGGGAATCATCCCTGAGGCAACGCACGGCTGCACCTCAACAGAAGTGCTTGTCAGAGAAGAGAAGAAAATAGAAAGTACAGCTATCTGGCAGTCTGGGTGGTATGGTAGTTTTAGTGTCAGTGTGTCATGAAACCCATGATGAAAGTGAGGACAAAGGTTTTTTCTTACACTGGAAGAAGACGAGATGTTGAGTCAGGGCGATTGCTATTGTCATGCCGTAAAATGAATAAGACGTTGGGACGTGCCAAACTATATAAACTGTATCGAGAAACAATCTCAATTGTTATCGAAAATAAGTATGATGTCTTGCTGCTGTTATGGCCTGTTGATGAGTGTCTACTTCTCTTGCTTCTCATGCAGCGCTATCAACTTGCTACACTGTATTTATAGTCGAAATGCTTCCCAGCCTCAGAGATAACTCTAATTTAAGTGTGTACATAACAAGGTAGATATGAGGGGGGCTGGGGATGGGATCCTTTCAAACAGGCATTATTGCTAGTTTTTACTCCCATGTCATTGTTATAATTGCTGTATATGTAAGCAGCTGTTGTTGTGGCACCCAGTTTAAGGTATATCCCTCTCACTTTTTTTTCTCCGCCTTACAATCTGCTCTTTATTCTCCGATCTCTCTCCTCTGTCTCTGCTTCCCCCCAGGTCTCGCTTCCATGCATATGCCATGGCTGACAGTGTTGGGTGGAATGTAGCTCAACATTCGGTTTTTAAATAGCATCCTGGCCCGAATCAGCCGCTCCTAATAAGGCAGAGGGCAGTGACACTGGCCCCAAAATATCATCACCTACCTCACTGAGAATAAAACTTTTCCTTGCTTTGATAGTGAAGGATGGTCTGTGATAAGCTGTTAGTACAAACAATATGCAGTACATGCAGATGCCACAGAGCTGCTTTGAATCAACTTAAAGTCAAAATAACATGTTTGACTGTCGGTGGTCTCAGCAGGATTTATATAGCTTGAGCTGCAGGTGTTTGTACTTTACAGTAATGGTGGCTTAGGTCAGCTGAGGCTGAAATGTGCCCCCAGTAACATGTGAAGTAATAGTGTTAATAATAGCGTTTAATCACTGCAACTACAGCTAACCTGTAAGCAGTAGTACTAAGGGGGCTTCCACACCTTAGAAAGAAAATCCAGTTCCGTTAACTGACAGAAGTTTATGCAGCACTTCTGTATATATATACATACTGTATATATTAATGTTAATGCTCATGTTGATTTGCATAAATAGGTTATAGTGATGGCCTTCTACAGATCAGTTATAGGATTGCTTCCTGAACAGATTTCCCAATCAGCAGATTGATTTATTAGTGCTTTATTCATGCTGAAATCCCCAAACCATCTCGTTGATTCGTTTGCTTTCATGCCACAAATGAAAAGCAACAGAATCCGCTTGGAAGCATTCTCGGTTTGGTTGTTTGTTATGCACCAGGGTTCGATTCACAGCTTTCACACCGGCACAAACAAACCGTAGTAACTGGGAAAACGGACCTGGGTTTGTTTTAACAGAACCAAACGGGTTAGGTGTGAAAGCGCCCTGAGACTCACATGAGATGTTTAGTTTCTGTCATGAACCTCATGACACACACTACTGTGAGATCAGCAATAAGTATTTTATTATATCATATGTATTACAATTAAATGTTCATTGTTATGTCTCTTTAGGATCCTGGTGGGGGCGCCGCAGGCAGCGGGGCAGGGCCTGTTGAGGGGCATCCGGCCCGGAGCCTTGTTCAAGTGTCCAATCACACCGGAAGAATACGACTGTGAGCGGGTGGATATTGATGGAGAAGGTGAGTAAAGTTGAGGTAAAAGAATAAGTAAGCAACAATTCTCATGGCAGCTTCTCAATTGTGAATATTTCCTTGCTTTCTTGTAAGTATTATGTACTATTTTCTGACCCTCTGACACCTAAATTATTAATTAATTAATTCAGAACATGATCAGCAGATTAATGGATAATGAAAAAAAAGGTTTCTTTAGTCAATTAGACTCCTTGAACTTTATTTTCTTGAATTTTTATAGAGATTATCCTTGACTTTATTTTGACTGTTTTTTTACATCAGAATAAGCTTTTCTAGATTCATTCACTTTCTGTGAATGCCATTGTACCTTTTTATTCAAAAGCTTCTAAAGAATGTTGCCATTAAAATGTAGTGCCTCTAAATTTGAATTATGTTTTGTGATTCAACAGTATCTATAATTTGAACGTTGATAACTCCATTGAATAACACAGTGCTGTTTGCTTCCTTTGGCTCAGGTCCTAATTGCATTACAATATGGAAACAGCTATGGTTGCCATTTCCTTCTTTGTTTTCCTGCAGTGAATCTGGAAAGGGAGAGCAAAGACAACCAGTGGCTGGGAGTCACTGTCAAGAGTCAGGGGATTGGAGGAAAGGTGGTGGTGAGTGAAGATAACATCCTGTAAATGCATCAGCACAGGAAGCAAGCTCCGTCTGGTGTTTGAAAACAAAAATGTTGGTCAGCTTCTACCGCAGTGATTTGTGAACTTAGAATGGATATTTTCATGTTTGGTTCATGTGTTAAGTTGTACTATAGACCTTTATGTATAAGGATAAATATTAGATTTTCTGCAAAGTCAGCAGTAACAGGTCAGCAAATCCCAATAATAAATTCTCTAATGCCATTTCCTGTCCCTCACCAGACCTGTGCTCACCTGTATGAGCTCAGGCAACGCATGAACCAACCGTCAGAGACTCGCGACCCCATCGGACGCTGCTACGTCCTGAGTGATGATCTGACAGAACGAGACGACCTGGACGGAGGGGAGTGGAAGTTCTGCGAGGGCCGGCCGCAGGGACACGAGCAGTTTGGCTTCTGTCAGCAGGGACTCTCCGTCAGTTTCAGCCCAGACAACAACTACATACTGTTTGGGGCTCCTGGAACTTACAACTGGAAAGGTAAGGTAGAGGGCTAGATGACGGAAACAAGGCTGTGAAAAGGCAAACATGTTGCTTCCTGCTTCATTTTTGGGGCACTAGGTGGCAGCAACAACAAGACAAGCAGACAAGTACAGTTTTCTTTTATAGTGTTGCAGCTAATGTAAGCAAGAGAAGAGAGCCAACCCATGTAAGCTGACTAAATAAAACAGTATAATTAACAGGATATACAGCTTGGGATTTAAAAAAATCAAATTGATTTATAAACCAATCTCGTGATTGGACACTATGCAGAGCTGCGACATGCACTTAATCACAGAAAGCACTGAGAGTTATCTGGTACAGTTATCAGAGCTACTGGATTGATTAATTTTGTCTGCCACATGAGATCAATGCTCATGTTTATCTTAACTTATACAATTCACATTCTAAAACATTAAAATATTACTCTATTACTCTTTTTCTGCTAGATGCGTAAGAACTGGGTCCCTCACACAAAACATGAATTTAGATGGAAGAAAGTGTAATTATGCGTGTGTGCCCCATATTAATATAGATTTTTTGTCAAATATTTTAGTGTGCTGTCAATGAACACTACTCGCTTGTAATGCAAAACCTAAAAGAAATGGAGGAGCTGCTTATAGCTCATAACAAAGTAAATTAATTGGAAATGGTGGTCAAATCGCTCCATAGAAAATCATTGAAAACAACTAGTATATCTGAGAAAAAACTCTTTGCTCTCTATTTTTGAAGTTTAACTTTGAGAGTTGTCCTGCAAAATCTCTGTTTTATGACGTCCAACATTGCATGTGCATTGTATCATTTCCTGTTCGTATAAAATGGTAAAGTATGTTGACCTTCCACTCTACAAACAGTATACTATGACAAGTGTACATAGAGTACATAGAAGTAGTAAGTAGTAGTGATTGTATGCAGCAGGTAATACGAGTGTTTGTATTCTGATGACAGCTGTGTGTGCTTGTTGCTTTGCTGTGCCCTCACCTGTTTCCATTCCAGGTGAGATGCGCGTCCAGCTCTTAAACCGGACTCTGCTTGACCTCGGTTTTTATGACGACGGGCCCTACGAGGTGGCAGATCAGAAACAACTTAATGCCCAGCTCATCCCTGTGCCCTACAACAGTTACCTGGGTAGGATTCGCCCTCCCTGCTCACTGCTGCCTGTGCACAGGAGAGAAAGAGAGGGCCGGTGGAGGGTGACATCAGGGCTCAGGCTGGACTCCAACATGGCTGCCAAAACCACAGGAGCTAGTAACAGTAGCAGCTGCCAAAATGCGTCAAACTGCTTATTCCCTGTGGAGTGTTTCTGGAAGAGCCTATCTGTGCGTGACTCACAGAGCCTCGAATGTTGCTCCACCTCATTTTTTTAAACGCATTCCCACGTGAATCTGGGTGGACATGTGAAAAATGTCCAGAGCTTTCTGTGGCCTGGCACGAATTCTTATGCCAGCATTTGCTAAAGTTTGGCCTTTCTCCCTTTCTTGAGCAAACAAGGGAAATATTTACCAAAAATAAATTAACCCAACAACAATGACGTTATCCTCATTCCATTTACCGCCCTCTCCCTAAAACAAAGTACAGGAAAACATGTCAACACTTTAATTAAAGAGGGTGGTGTACAACCAGTCAACGTGCAGTCTGAGCCTGAAATGTCGTCCCTCCACCAGGTACCCAGTGGTTTTGTTGGACCGCTGTGGCACCACAAAGACAAAACCTCAATCAATCACAGCCTGTCTCACCTGCACCTCCCTCTCCCTCTCTTTTCACTCTCCCCCTCCCCTCACCATTTCACCACCCCATCACTTCCCTCCTACACTCGTACCTCTGTCTCTCTTTCTCTCTCTTCTCTTTTCCTGTCTTGGGCCATAGGGCTCTTGTTCATGGCTAGCCCCATTGAAGATGCACTGCTGTACAAAACTCTGGAGCCCTCCAGCCGGCCCACACCGTTTGAGGATGTAGCTCATAATAGCTACTTAGGTTTGTAGGCGTGAGGTGTTTTTGTTTGGACCGGACTGGGCTTGTAGTGGAAGTAGTCCCACCTTCCTCCTCCGTCTTCGTCTTAATCGTTTCTGCTAATTCTGGATAGATTTTTAGTGTGTAATCTACTAAATGGGGCCGTATCACCTGCACTGTTAAAAAGAGACAGCCATTCAAAATTTTTATTTTATTACATTTTATTACATTTTATTAAATTGTATTAAATTGTATTAAATTGTATTAAATGTTATTACATTTTAATACAATTTAATTAATTTTAATTAAATTAATAATTAAATGTTATTCAATTTAATTAAATTTAATTCAATTTTATTTTATTTTTGGTTTATGATTATTTGTCACCTCCGGCTTCTAGCTGCTGATTTGATAATGGCGAGGAGATGGTTGTCTCTTTGAGTAGCAGCGGGGTGTCTGTTCTGTCTGTAGATTTCTGTCGCCTGTAGTGTGTTGAGTCAGTCTGCATGTGTGTGTGTTGGTACAAAGCTTCCCAGGTGGTGGTGGTTTTCTCGTCAGTTGCCATAGTTTTACGAAATCGATTTATTGATAAAAAGGTTTTATTAACAAAGAAGACAAAGAGTCTACATCCCTTCTAGCGGCTCTGTGAGGCTGTACTTCGGCACAGAGGTGCTTTGAGCTAAATGCTAACGTCAGCATGCTAATATGCTTACAATGCGAACATGCTGATGTTTAGCAGGTATAATGTTTACCATCTTCACCATCTTAGTTTAGTATATTAGCATGCTAACATTTGCTAGATAGCTCTAAAAACAAAGGAAAGCGGGAATGTCATTCATTTGCAGGTTAGGTCATACACCAAAGTAATGGACACGTTACCATCTCAACCTCATGTTGGCGCTAGATGAAAAGTTTAGGCATCACTAAAGTTGATACAATTCATCCTGAGGGGATCATGAATGTGTGTCTCAAATTTCCTTGCAATTCATGTGATAGTTGTTGACACATTCTATTCCAAACCACAAATGTAAAACTCATGGTAGCGCTAGAGGAAAAGTAAGGAGATCACTAAAGCTGATAAGATTCATCCTCTGGGGACCATGAATGTTTAATGTCTCTACAGAATTTTATCCCAATCCAACTATAGATGTAGAGATATTTCATTGAAAATTTGACCTGCTGGTGGCGCTAGAGAGAAATTCAGGAGAACACCAAAGTCAATAGGATTCATCCTCTGGGGACCATGAGGTAGTTTTTCTGTCTGGACCGGAGTGGTGGTTTGTTTTTGTTATGAATCTCTTGGTATTTCGTGTCCATGTGTAACGACTCCTCGTCTGCTTAACACAACGTGTTTTTGTGATTGTTCCAGTGATTACTCTTCACTAAGTGTGTGGATCTGCCATAAATCTCTTTATTCACGTGCCTCCAAGCCTGCTTACCCTCCCGCTCTCCACATTGAGCCGTCTCCTTGACAACACTAATTTCCACATGACCTTTTTGGCCTTCATTTATAACTCACATGCTTCTGTTGATCCTAACCAGATGATATGCCACACCTTTGCATGCTTAATACAAATGACAGAGACAGTGTTATTTCTGATTGTTTTTATCATTACATGCAAAATGTCACAGAGTTCTAGTTGTTATATTATGGTACATACATGAATGACATACCAAAGAGCAATGTGTTGCTGAATACACACATACTGTACGTCCTCTTCACCTCCATCAAGGCCAAATATAAATCCTGCAGAGAATAGAAAGAATCTCTTTGTTATTCGGCTAAATGGAGTGTTATGTCAAACCCAGGTTTTCTGGAGGCTTGATGGTTGTTTAGGTTTTCATTTAAAAAAAGAAAGTGAGGAACTAGTGTCTGTTCCTTTGTTTCATATACTGCTTAATAAGTCAAAACAATATGCTCATCATCTTGACAGAATCTAAGCTTGACCTTTTTATGTTGCTTCATTTATAAAATTCTTTTAAAAAAAACCAACAACAAAAAAATCTTTTTTTTTTTTTTTTTATCTAGTTGATGGGATAAAACAGAATAAATGAGAAAAACAATTAAATGGAAAAGTAAAAGAGTAAGTAGAAGTGCAACGTGTTGCAATATGACTTAACAGAAACACATTTCAATTATATCAAGCTTTTGACACTGAATTTGAAGCACGAGTCAAGACCTTACAATTTACAAATTTATGGGAATCTGAACACGTACAGAGAATAAGATATGGAATGAACTGTATAATAAGGTTAATTCATGTGAATATTTAGAAAGACAGAGTAATGTATAACTGCACATTGGTTTAGTGCACCTTCCGCAGGAGAAAAGATAAACAGATTAAAGTACATTACATGCAATAAAATCCCACAAGATTTAAATTAGAGCAGGATACAACACCAACGGGCAGTACAGTAGAACACATATAAAAAGTAGCACTGAAGAGAGAAATAACAGTACAACAAATGACACACAAAACATGTATATTTGTGCAATATCCCTGCAAGTAGTGCAAAGACTTGAATGAGGGTAGTGCAGAAACATTACCGTTGATATAGGGCCCCTTTAATAACCTTTTTAATAGCCTTAAGCTTTCACTCCCCATTTAGCTTTATAGAGACAACCTTGGAGCGAGCCTGTGTGTTAAAAGGCTCCTTGTGTGGAACAAGTAGCACCATTTGTCTCCCTCCGTTGGCTTTTACAGGACTTGCGATGCAGACTGTTGCATTCCTCACCTGCCACCCTGGAGCTGCTCACTGTTTGTCTCTGTTGTGTCTCCCCCTGCATGTTTACTCAGCACTAACAGATCACGTCCTGATTGATCATTTCACACCCTCACATCTGCACGTTTTGGAACCAGTGAAGCAAATGCATGTGGTCGCTTCTGTTCAGGTGAAATGTTTGATATGACGTGCTATTTTCCACATCTCGATAACAACATTTCAACACACATCTTGTCTTGAAGCAAACACACACACACACACACACACACACACACACACACACACACACACACACACACACACACACATAAGCATACACTTCCACACAAAAGAAGGGTTTGCTCTAGGTTATAAATCTGATTAACGTCCACCCCCTATGTTTACATCCTGCCTTCACTAGAGACAGCTGATACAGAGCAGCAGCATCATGAATCTCACGGGACATTAGGTGAAGCCCCATACATCTTCTGTTAACGTCACGACTCACAACCAGCCTTTCCTGCTCTTCCCAGTGGACACGTATCCAATCGCCGGCCTCCAGCAGTCTTCAAACACATGCACACAGGACATTTACACCCATCATGAGTTTGGCATAAAATCAATGGTCACTTAAGGCACACATTTCATTAGTAAGAAGATGAGCAGGGCATGCTACTCAGAGAGGAGATGAGTCTCCGAACCCCACGGTCAATACTAACCCCTGACCCTTTCGTCCATCCTGTTCCACTTCTTCCCCTCCATCCTGCCTTCCATCTTTCCAGGGTTTTCTGTTGACTCGGCCATGGGGATCATGAGCCTCGGGGAGCTGACGTTCGTGGCGGGTGCACCCCGGGCCAATCACACAGGGGCGGTGGTGCTTCTGAGGAAGGACAACGTGTACCGACTGGTGCCACAGCACATCTTCTGGGGGAAGGAGCTGGCGTCTTCATTTGGGTACTCGGTAGCTACGGCGGATCTAAACAGGGACGGGTGAGGAAATGCTGGATGAGGAGTCGGTCTGGATGATCATCATTAAATAGACAAGACTGACCAGTGGTGGAAGGAGTATTCAGTATTTTACAGTACATAAGTATTTTCAGAAAAATATATGTAAGTGTCAAAACTAAAAGTGCTCGTTTGGCAAAATGGGCCCTGTTATACTTCTATATCACTGGAAAATTATTATGTATGACACTGACATATGGCAGTATTATACTGTTTTTTTTCGAGCTAATTAAACTGATTTATTTTATTTTGCATAGTTTAATCAATCACAAAGCATCATATTTAATAAATGGATGCACATGTTTTGTATGTAAAGTCCTATACTGAAAAGTAACTTATAACCATAGCTGTGAAATAAATAAAGTGGAGTGAAATAAGCACAGTATTATGTATTACATGCATTTGAATTAAATGAGGAACAGAAATATTAAGTAGTATGAAATGAAAATACTCAAGTAAAGCACCTCAAAAGTACAGTACAGTATGAGTACTTAGTTGCATTGTATGTGACTGTTGGTGAGAGGGGGTGTGCTTCAAAAAACTCAATAATAAGTTCGTGGTGCACCAAATCTAAATTCAGTACTTAAAATAAAAAGTATATTAATTTGTAATTCTCTGTTTCTGTCCCCAGCTGGACTGATCTGATTGTCGGAGCTCCTAATTTCTTTGACCGTAAGGCAGAGATTGGTGGCGCTGTGTATGTGTACCTCAACCCATTCGGTCACTGGGACGATCAGGCTCGGCCCATCCGTCTCAACGGGACCTACGACTCCATGTTTGGAATGACGGTCAGCAATATAGGAGATCTGGACCAGGACGGATACGGAGGTGAGATTAAAGGTTTTTATTATAGTACAATAATGTAAAGGGAGTTCAATTTCTACTACTGCTGTTTAAAACAGATGGGGATTTAAATGGTTTTAATCCAGTTAACATTCCTAAAGTTTTACTTCCACTTTCGACCAACACTAGTTGAGCAGCAGCATGTTTCCCAATTGTCCTTTTCATACTGTTGTTCTTCTTTTAGACTATTTAAATATGAATTAGAAATAAATAAATGATATGTTTGTACACTTATTTCCGTATATCATACTCAGATATTGCTGTTGGGGCACCGTTTGATGGAGATGGCAAAGTTTTTATCTACAGAGGCTCAGATGCTGGAATTGAAACAAAACCGGCTCAGGTGAGATTCATACAACGGTTTTGGAATGAACCAAACGATGAAAAGAATGATGAAAATGAATAGTCCAAAGGAAGAATAAGAGAGTGGCTGAGTGAACGATGACTGACCAGTGTTTCTAATCCCATCAGGTGCTGGACGGTCGTGACTTTGATGTGAGACGTTTTGGATACTCCATCTCAGGTGGTTTGGATATTGATAACAACCACTACCCTGATATTGCGGTGGGCTCTCTGAATGACTCAGTGGTTCTCTTCAGGTGAGAGAATATTTATTTAAAAACCCAAATGAGATCCTCAATCTGATAACTGCATGCATTTGACGAACAAAAAGGCCCAATGTTTCATTTGTATTGTTGGATAAATCATGATTAAATCTAAGCAAACAGACATAAAATCCAAGTTTTATCGTAAATCTTACATATTTACCTTCCATATAATTGAGTCTGACTCTCTGTGTTTGTTGTGTGTCCCCAAGGGCTCGCCCAGTAATCCATGTGATCAGAGATGTATCTATCGAGCCTCAGTTCATTGATCTGGAACAGTATAACTGCAAGGGCAGAGAAGGAGTCTGGTAAGAACTGACAATTTGACAGAAACAGCTGCTGATGTATTTTCCCCCATGATTATCTTTCAAAATAATGTTTCATTTCATTTCAATCTAAGCAAGTGTTGTAACAGATCATTTTTTTTTATGCACTCCACCTTTTTTTAGCATGGAGGTCACGGCCTGCTTCACCTTCACAGCCCACCCAGAACACTACTCACCACACATTAGTAAGTCACACACCTTGCTTTTCAAGACCATTCCTGTTCTTCTCTCTTGCGGGACAAGAGTCATTTCTATTTACAGTGGAAAGTAACCTTATCTGTGGGGTAGCATCACACTTTATTTTGATTGAATCACAGCTGTGTAATCCTGTATTCCCTCAGATGGGGGTTTCATATATGTTTGGCCCCCAGTGGGCTCTTTAAGTGCTCTCTGTGTGCGTTCTGACATTTTTCAATCCCTCCATCTCTCTTCATGCATCGCCCCTGTTTTTACCTCCTTCAAGCACTTGTGGTGCACTTTGAAGCTGACACAGAGCGCAGGAAGTTGGGCCTCCCCCACCGCGTTAACTTCTTGGGCCACAGTTCCCTGGAGCCGGAGTTTACTCAGATAGAAGAAGTGGCGCTGCATCGGCAGCGTCACCCTGTGTGCACCACCGCTACCTTCCAGCTCCATGTCAGTAACTTAGCTTAGACAATAACTGTTTTTTTTACTATCCACTTTTTGAGTTTCAGGGCATTAAACTGTTTGTTTGAGAAATTAAATGAAATGAAATATACAGTTACACACACAACACTTTCATAGATGTACAAAACACATTTAAAACAGTTATGACAATTAAACATATTACATTATGTCCTCTGGATCTCATTCAGCAGCACTCAGAGTTTTGGTGTGCGTTTAAATGAAGGGACTCTAAATCGCCCACTGGAGGGCAGAAGTTGGTAATCTCCATTTAAAGCATGCCAGGATCCAGAAGAGATACTTTCTGAGTATGCTCTTGTCGCTATTTACTTGAAAGGAGAATGCCACAGGTTGGCTAATATTTGTCACATTATATTGGATTTGATTATATATACATATAGTTTTAAGTTTTAACTGCTGAGCCAGGCCTGCAGTGATTTATAAAACAGAAAAATAGTCTGGCTATTGGGTCTATCTTATTCTACGAAGAAGGTAGATGCCCAGCTGATACATTCTATATGAGGAGTCCATGATACAGTGGCATCTATCAGAGCACTCAAATATGTGTATGAAGAGACTTGTTTATTTTCTATATTGTGAATTACATCTGGAAACAGCTGAAAATCAGTAGGAAGCTAAAAATACTTTCCTCTGTCTTATTAGTATTATTATGCACCACAAACAAACTCTTTGACCAAATCTCTTGTTGTCCATTCATCTTTTTCTTTTAATCTGTCCATGCAGGAGAACATCCGGGACAAACTGCGTCCGATCTCATTGGCGATAACCCACACTATCAAGCGTGTGCCACCACGCAGACACTCAGGTGTCAAGAGGCTGGAGAAGCTGGCTCCTGTACTGAGTGATTCCCCCTCAAACACGCTGCACTCTGAGGTCTGTAACCAAAAGGAAGTATTTTATGGCCGGGATTAACTTTAATGGACCACACTTGCCTGCAAATTACTGTATAAAGAAGTGGAGATTTATGAAACACATTCCAATCTACCATCTTTTCTGCAGTAACTCAGGCTTGTCAAGACAAGTTAAAGCCAAAAAATATGACATACAAAGCATTATGTAGTTGTGAATTTGATTCTATTAACAACATAAACATGCAGAGTAATTTGTAGAAAAAGACCCTGCTTGGTTGGATTTTATTGTTAAAAAAAGACAATTACCTTACATGTACCTCAGTACTGCTGCAGTGAAGATCCTTTACACGTAGGTTATGATTTGCATAAAGCACAATTACCCAAGATGTTTTTGAGTCAGCATCCTTTCTTCCAACTTTATGTTGAATCACTTTTTTACCTCCTCACACACATGAATCCATGGTTTTTCCTCCTATGCAGTATTTCTCCCTTGCACCCCAAATATCTGGTGCTTATTTACCAGTTCAAGCTTAATAATGCAGTAAGTATAATATGTATAGTATGCAATAAGTGTAATGCAATAGGGCTACACAATTAATTGGTTGATTAGTTTCTTGATTAATGGTTTATTCTAAAAAAATAAATAGTCAACATTTGGATGAAATAGTTACAATTTCCCGCGGCCTAATGTCAGCACTTACCATGCTACTTGATTCAATCTTGTATTAACAAACTTTAACTAGATGTTGAATGTGCTTTGTGATTTAATAAACAACTTTGCGTCTGTCTTGTTGCCCCTGTGAAGGTGAACTTCCTTCGAGAAGGATGCGGCAGCGACAAAATCTGCCAGAGCAACCTGAAGCTGAGCTACCAGTTTGGAACGCGGCCCCTGACCTCCGACCTCTTCACCCCTCTGCCAAAGTTAGTGTCTGATGAGCCCCACTCTGTGTGAGTCGGTGGCAATGATGATGCGAACTGTTCCCTGAGAGACTGTTGCCTCGCAACCTATACCCCAACTCAAACAATTATGTGTATGTGGTCAGAAAATAATGAGTTTTTACTGTCATATTTCTTAAATTCATCTTTTGGTGCCAGCTGAGATTAAGGTATGCCTTCTAAAGGGTCTATGAATTGAATCTGATGGAATTATTAGTGGTTGATACATTATTTTATACTGCTTCATGGGGTCTTTGTGTATTTACTCACCAGCTGTAAATATGTGTTTTTCCCCACTCTCTCCTGTAGAGATGAGGATAATGTGCAGGTGTTCTCCCTGTCAGACCAGCGGTTGGTGGTGCTGGAGATCAGCATCACCAATATGCCCTCCGACCCGCTGCACCCCGAGGAGGACGGAGATGACGCCCATGCTGCTCAGCTGCTTATCTCCCTTCCAAACACTCTGTCGTACGCCGGCTCCAGGATCCCACCACAGGTTGGGACAAAAAAATATTTTTGGAGGTGAATTCATAAACTAGAAACTTGTATGTTTGGATTCCTGTTTTTGCTGATAGTATTTGTTTGATATCCTGATTATAGATGAGATGCCAAGCGAACCAGAATGGCTCACAAGTTGAATGTGACCTGGGAAACCCTGTGAAACGAGATACTAAGGTACAAAACAGTGTGAATTCAGTTAAAGCTTTGCAGACTGTCAGGATAAAAATAAGCAACTTATGGTTGTAAAATATATATATATTGTATATTGTATATTTTGTTTCTACAGTGTGAAACAAAAGCAACATGCTTTCAGCATTAAGTGTAATTATGGGAAATTAAATATCAGATTATGTGTTGCTTTTTCAGCTGAAATTCTCCATCAACTTGAGCACATCTAACATCACAATTGAGACCACTGAGTTGACCGCAGATCTCTTATTGACAACGTAAGCCCTCTACATCTCTTATGTGCAGATATTTGACTTGTTCATTCCGTTGATCACAGTGTCTGTTTGTGGTTTTGTCCTCAGTATCAGTGAGCAGCCTGAACTGGCACCAGTCACAGCTTTTGCTAAAGTTGTGATAGAGCTCCCTCTGTCTGTCAGTGGGTGAGTTAATCCTTTTAAAACAGTTTCTCATCGATGTTAAAAACTCTGTGTGGCTTGGAAAGGGTGCTTTATCTTAGGTGATCTCATTTACACCCTTAACAAACACATTTCCTTGGGTTCCCCTTCCGCTTTAAGCTTGTTGTGTCTGACAGTGTCACATAACTCTTCATTGATGCTATGCTAAGATATCCAAGATAAACTGAGCATCATCTGATACACATTTCCACAAAACTTGGCCTCACATATTTTTGAGAATTGGAAATAATGTTCTGTGGGGTTTAGCAATGTATGAGTTTGAGTAAAATAAAGTGAATCTTGCTCTCCTCCAGTAGTTATGAGAGACTTGCTATAATCCCAGGCTTGCTTGTGGTCTTAAACTGTACAGCTACTGTGCATAGTAAACAGATACATGCTTTATAAAGCTGTGTGAGTGTGTATGCAGCTGTCCGACCCATTGATGTGATCCTGTTTCACTGCAGGTTTGCTCGTCCTCACCAGCTGTTCTTCAGCGGCAAAGTTAAGGGAGAGAGTGCCATGACCAGTCTGGAGGACATCGGCAGCCCTGTGGATTTTGAGTTTGTGGTGAGGAACGAGTGTGTGTGAGTGTGTGTGTGTGTGTGTGTGTGTGTGTGTGTGTGCAGGACCCCTGTATGTGTGTTTAGATTCCTGTCATGGCTACAGTAAGACACACATGTTATTATAATCTGTATGATATTCTTTTTTCTGTCAGGTTGCTAATCCCGGACAAGCTCTGCAGACGCTCGGCTCGGCCTTCCTCAACATCATGTTTCCTTACGAGCTGGCCAATGAGAAATGGCTTCTGTATCCCGCCAGCCTGAAGTTTGAGGGCCACCCAGACACACAGTGCACCACAGCAGGGGCCTTGAATACTCTGAAGCTGCCCAGCTCCTCACCTGCAGAACCTCCACAGCTTGGCAATCACAGGGTAAGCAGAGCAAAGCTCATTTTTGCACCATGCCAGGATTATTATGTATTATTTTAACACCATCAATAGAGTCGACAGTCGTCACAGAAGGTGCGGTTGATCAATGTCTTTTGGCCTGGATGGTTCCTAAAGTGATTGAACCTAAAGCTGTCTCAGTTGCAGGCATGTTAGGAGCTGGTTGAATTCTTTGAATGCTAATGAACACAACTTCAGTGCTTCCTTGCCTGATCTTATTTAGCCCAGGAATCACAGGTCCATCACGTGTGAATTAGGAATTTTTCACTTTAACTATTCACAATGTGGGTATTATGACCAAATTTTAGTTCAATCTTAATTTTAATATTAGTTTGCTTTAGAAAATATATAATGCAATAGAAAACGTCTTCATTAGGTAAACACTCTCTTATCTTACATCTAGAATTTGTGCTGTTTACAAAATGTGGAAATATTATACATGACAAAATGACGAAAACACTCCTTTTCCTTCTTAAATATATTTTACATCCAGTTCAAAGAAAAGTGGTTAGAAAAGGAGAGCATTTTTGGACACAGCTGCATGTAAACTAACGTGGAGACTTTGACTTCAACATCAGCCTCCTGCTCTACATTTCTACACCGTTACATCATGTCCACACTGACAATTTCTTGTTTTTGTCAAGCATAACTCAATCCTTTATTCGAGACTGATCCGTCTCATCCTGTATGAATGTGTCACTGCTACCACCAGGCTGGGCGAACGCGTCGTTCCCACCCAGAGGAGGAAGATCAAGTGACGACAAAAGGCAGCGTGAGACGAACCACCCCAGCTGTGGCAGCCTCTGAGAGACGCAAGTCACTCAAACTGGTAAGAGGGAAAGGAAAATACAGATCGCACAAAACAAAAGAAGCAGGCTTTGTTGCTTCTGCTTTTCACTGCTGTTCTAACTGCAGTCTCCAGTTCATTTAAAAATCAGCTCAGCTGTCATTTCTTTCTTCCAGGATTGTCTCTTGGGGTCGGCACGCTGTGTCCTGTTTCAGTGTCCCCTCCACAGCTTCTCCGGTCAAGCTGTCCTCAAGATCCATGCCAGGCTGTGGAACAGCAGCTTCATAGAGGTAAAAACAACAACACTGTCATCATTACATTAGCACCTCCCTGCACATTACTCTCCATCTCAGCTTCAGTCCAGCTGTTACAGCTGCTGCTGGCAGCTCACATTGACTGCAAGTGATTGAATGAGAACTACAGCAGGATTAACAAGAGAGCTTTGATGTTAATAAGGCAGGTGTGTATTAGCTCAAATGAAATAAAAAAGCTTTATTAAAAGAAAAAGGGTTTTTGGTTTTAATCTAATTTAATTTCAGAATTTTAAGAGCTGCATCTGAATGAACAAAGCACAATGTAACTCTGAACAGTTTATGTTTGAATGTTTATGTTCCCCTTTTCTCTGTCCGTCAGGAGTTTCCATCAGTCAGTGCTCTGGAGCTGCTGGTCAGAGCCAACATCACTGTGAAGTCCAGCATCAAACACCTGATCCTCAGGGATGCTGCTGCTCAGGTACTTGGCAGACTTCAGAACATGAAACATGTATCCTAACAAAAAAAAACTGCATTACGTTTTGTTCATTAAATGTTTGTTGGTGTCACCTTTTACACATCGCTATCAGCAGCATCTAAAATATAAGATTCATTCGCAATCTGCACATTTCTAAACCTCATATAAATACACATATTATCATTACAGACACGACTGACTGACTGACTGATTAATCACTATATGGTGTATAGATATATATCTACTATTTTTCTCTTAATTTTACATTTGGATTGCATCCTCCCTTCCTCTCCAGGTGCCAGTGATGATCTATCCTGAGCCTGGTCTCGCTGACCAGTACTTGATCCCCTGGTGGATCATCCTCATAGCCGTCCTGGCGGGCATCCTGCTGCTGACTCTGCTGGTCTGCATACTGTGGAAGGTAACGCACACACAAAGGATAACCAACTGTCACTACATTTAGTAACACTCAATAGACCTTCTTGTTCTATGTTTCAAAGTCCCTCAAACAATGTAAAAAGATGTTCTTGATTAGATTTAGATTCAGCCTATACATAAGAGGTTCTTATAGTTTAATTGACTTCATCCCTGTCACCCCACTGGCCATTACTCTGGCATTATGTCACCTTTTTCGATGGTAGACCAATTATTTCTATCTGCTTTGTTCTGTCCTATAATCATTTTATTCCTTCCAGCTCACTCTCGTCTGTTCCTTTCCTCTTTTGTTTGTCCTCTGTGTGTCATCCCTCTTGTTTTGTCTCCTCTCACTTCCACCTGGGGACTCCTCTATCCTTAAATCCCCTTCCTTTTTCATTTCCCATTGTATTTCCCATGTTTCACTTTCCCTGTGGTGATCTGTTGCCCAGTGTGGGTTCTTCAAACGCAGTGAGCGGCGCCGGCACTATGAGACGGAGTACTACCGCGCCCATTTGGGGGTCCAACCCTCGGAGGCGGAGAAGCAGGCATCAGAACTATAATATAAAAGATATTTCACTCTGGCCTGCTCTCCCCTCCTCCTCTCCCTCCAAGCGGTAAAAATGCTCACCCACAACTGCTTTGTTCCTGGATGCACTCTGGTGTGGCTGGTGGTGTTCATTACAGTGTGAAATATTACCATATTTTTGCACAATTAATAAAAAACAAAAAGGTGTGATGTTGTAGCTGTGAGAGGGGTTTCGTGAATGGTATCAATGAAGCCAGCTGAACTTATGGATATTGTTACATTTGTAACCCATCAGGCACTTGGTAGAATCAACCTGTACACTTTTGCCAGTGTGGCGGTCTCTGTTATGAGATCATGCATGGCAAAAATGTGCTGTTTTATTGTATAAAAAAAACTGATTCCAATTATTTAGCGTTGTCTTGTCTTTGTAAGCTGTGCCCATTGAACACCAACCAGCCATCTCTCCCTCAGGACTTTTCAGCTGCCTGCTGTGCTGTCTGTTGTGCCTCTGCTGTTGACGTCACAGTTTAATTATCTACACTTTGTTCATTCTGGCACCAGTCTATGGGAACCTTTCATTTTTCTGATGTGCTTGTCTTCTATTAACACTCCTATTTGACTTACATCCGGTGGCCACCTGGCTTATTCAGGTGCCAGAATCAACTTGTCATTAATATCAGCAGGGGATTTTGTTCACATTAATGTGTGCACTTTTTCTTAATGGCACTTTGGCAGCGTGTTGGTGTTTGAATCAAGGACACTTAAAACTGATGAAATGTGCAGCATGTGGATGTGCTTTTTTGGGTGGATGTACCTTTTAATAAAGTGTCACTTTGACTGATCAGATAATCACATTATCTTTTCGTCTGTCACTGAGGAACTATAAGATACTAACAATTTATAAGTTTATTACAAGGCATGATATGGGAAAGTAGACAATCTTGTCTGCTGAAAGAAGGGCAAACCATTGCAGGTGATTGGCTATTATATTATTACATATGACATCACTTAATTCTTTGTATTTTTCCTTCCTTCCTGCCGCTCCATGCCTCTCTCTGCTATTCTTCCTCTATCTGCACTCCTACATTCTTTCCTCTCTCCTGTGCCAACAGTGTGGCTTCTTCCAACGGGCCCACTACAAAGACAAATTGCCTCAGTACCACGCGGTGAAGATTCCTCGCGAGGACCGGCCACAGTTCCAGATTGAGAAGTCAGGAGTTGTCCATAAAAAGGAATGGGCCACGCACTGGAGTGACGGGACCTCGTAACTCGCTTTGAAGCACTGACTGACTGAATTAATTCAAATCACCATGTGTGGCACTCATTCTGTCTTTGCATTGGAACTAACTGACTAAAAAAAAGTGCACATAGACATCATGACATCTTGTGCACTCGGTACTGTGTCAGTACTTGCATATTGGTGGCCTGTTACACTGTGACTGGATCTCTACTCTCTCAAGCTGTAGCCTGCTGATGGCTGGCCTTGCATAGTTTATTTATACTGTGCATCTATCTCAGCGTGTTAAAGTTAATACCGAAGGCCAACAACAACTTTGGAATCAGTCTAGCTGCTCAATATGCTTTACAGCCTGCAGACGGAGCGCTGATGCTCACATGGACTTCACCGTCTGTCATCAGAACAAAGGAGGACAGAAAACCACAACTCAAAGGCATGCATGAATGCACAAACGCACAGTATAATCTCAGATGCATACAGAGACACTGGACATTTTTGACAAAGAAGCCACTGCCCGTGACAAAAACTACTTTTTGCCTTAACTACTGTAAGACTGACGAAAAAAAAATGCATTTTTTTATATAAATAATGTTTTGGGATTTTCTTTTAGTTAGCACTGGTAAACATTTGGGAAAATATCGAAGGTATCAGTTTAATAATATGTTGCCTAACACTAAATGTGTTGTTTTCTGGGCTTGCTGTTTGCTCTGGAAACAAGCTCACCTGATGTTTTTTGTAAACCCTTATTCAAGGAAAAAAAATGCCCTCTCGTGTCAATATCTTTTTCATTTTTTGTTAATATGTCAGTTAAATGTATTGTACATCAATAGTTTACCACCTGAGTAAACTTGAATAAGAACTTGAAAAAACCACACAATACAACCTATGACAGCCACGGCCATAGCATTGCAGTCGCATGAAAACCAAATATCGAAGAAAATATTTAAAATACGGTCGGCACATTTGTAGTGTAAGCATTTAAATTTCTGAAGCAATGTTTAAAAGGATTATGTGTGAAAACATGGTCTCAAATCAAAACCTATAATAATATGTATGACTGAATTAGATCATAGTTATGAGGTTTTCAACAACAACATCTTTATTTCTTTCCTTTTGTTACTCACAGACACCATGACCTTTGTATAAATAGGTTTAAAACGTTTTATTTAGAATATATTAACCTGCTTGTTGCGCTGTTCCTGGTACTGTACTCTGGTCACACCAGCCAGGGTAAGATAGCTACATTCATGTCAGTACTGACGTTTCTAACTGCATACAAGTGCCTTATGGTAAAAGTGGCAGATTGTGAACTACTGGTAAAGAACACAAGGCAACTTATAAACTAGATCAGGAAGCTGCCCTGAAGCATCTGTTGGACACATGTGGACAAATAAACAAAATGAAGACAGGAGAGAAGATTTCTAGAAGAGCAGAACATGTCGGCAAGGAACCACACAAACTTTCTTTGGATTTAATTTGGGTCAATGAAGTGGTTGTAAAGCATGAAGAGCTTGTTTTTTTAGGTATTGCTGGACAATCTTGTATTAGCTGCATGAAGCTCCTGTTGCTGTTCTGACCTTCCCCTATTTTTGTTTTTGATGTTGTCATAACTCAGTGTTTTATTTATTCTATGTTTGGCTGCACCATTTTAACATTGTAAATAAAATTAAAGGAAACAAAATAAACCCATCAGATAACGTATAAGTTGTGTCGTTCTCCGTAGAATGTTTAGCCAGTTGTGACCAGTTACCGATTAACCTGCAGTTCACTCTGAAAACACCAGGTGGAGGCAAAAGTCTGAAAACTGAAATACACATTTGGTCTCTACTATTTGAGATTTCTTTTGTAAAAACACAACTGTTTATGTGATACACAAAATACATTAATAGTTGGTTTTGAGAGACATGCTGCAGTACAAAGACAGATATTAGTGGCACATAAACAAAGACGTGGAGACTTGAAGAAAAACAAAAAAGGTAAATTGTTGTGTTCCTGTCGAATGCAACATGTAGATCTTATATATGGATAAGAAACAGGTTTTGTCATATGGTAATAACAGTCATCATCAGTATGTCACAGGCCAGGGCCCCCCGCCTGTGCTCTGGTTCATAAAAGAACATACAGGTCAGCCATATATAGCTCAAGGTTAAATTGACCTGAGCTTTAAATCCTCGGCTCATTTCCTGTTATAACTGGCAACCAGCAGGTGTGATTACACTTGTCATACATGGTCTTTTCCTTAAGGCCCAGTTAAAATCCTAGCAGCTACATTCAGCTGAACCAGCGGGAGGTGTTGGAGAGATATGATTGACTTTGCATAGCTGACCATCTCCAGATAGAAGTGAATATATTTCACAACTGGACAATGGAAGCCTATGAAACTCTAACCTCCAGCTTTATGTCCGAAGACACCATTTCCACTGTTTAGTTATAGGTGACTGATTATGTTTAATAGATATTTGATTGAACCTGGGCCAAATCAATACACACCTATTATGATGTAAATAATAAATGTTCGGTTTTTGTTGGCATTGTTGGAAATGTGTACACTCAATTATATGTTTATCATTGAGGTCATAGTTAAATGTGTTTTCACAACAGATCTAACTATGAGTCTCAATGCTAAATCATATAATTTAATCATTTATGACAATGTCAACAACAGCAGAATATTAAAGGCGTCATAAGAGTAGAAGGGCTGTTGTATTTGACTGCAAGGTGTGCAGGTGCCCCTAATCAAGTTGGCTGCTGAGTGTTTATTCCTGTTCAAAAAACAACTTAATCTCAAGCAAAACAGCACAGACTAAACATACATGTACTTCTTATTATCTGGTCAGAGTGAGCAAATTCGATTTGTCTCTAATCTTGTGATTTTATAATAGAAATGAAAACTAATTCCCCTCAGCATCCTTCATGTGTCATCCTGGTTGCCATGGCAGTTAAACAGGGACAGCTAGACTGTGTGCGTGTTTGTGTGTTTCAGTCTAAGCGGATTGTCACCCATTAGGCACTTTGACGAGCTAAATCTGTTGATGTCTCATCCAGTATTGGGGAAGTGACTAATTATTACACAAACACACACAATCTGTACATGCACAAAGACACACAGACACACACACACACACACACACACACACACACACACACACACACACACACACACACGCACACACATAGACAGAGACAAATTGAACCTATACGGTACTAATAAAGCCGGTGTCACTCTCACAAATCAAGCAGTTTGAAAATTAACAAAATGAAGGAAGCTATTTAACAAATGAAGGGTTCCTTTGGGAGAAGCTTCTTTCTAAAAATCCCTCCATCAGCATGTTTAAAGAAAAAAACCCTCATGAAACCATCTTGTTTACTGTGTGAGCGAAGGTTTTGATGATCCATAACGTTTCTCTGGAATCATAGTGTGCTTTACATTCCTGCCAATCACTATTTGGAGAGAGCATTTGTGAAGCATCTTTCATCAACATTTTACATGCTCCTGATAATAAATCTAAAAAAACAAACTATTTGCATCCAACACTAACATTAGGTTTGCATACGCTGACCTAAATTCATGATCTTGGACAATTCATCCTATACTTGCAAAACGATCCCTAAAATGATCATAAAGTCAGCCAACATGAATCTGAGACGCCATTAGGAAACAAACTGCGAGGCTGATCCTTCACTGATGAATGAATCAGTGGCATTTTTGAAAACGCTGAGATGTGAGATGATATTATTGTATATACTGTATCTTTTAGTTTAGATACATTAACTCTGGAGCTGAACATAAAAAAAAACTAAAAAGCAGAAAATGTGTAGATCTCGTGTTTGTTTTTATTTTTTCTCTGCTGTATTAGGTTCACTACTTTGTTCCCTAAGATCAATTAGGTTGTGCAGACGAGTTGGTTTAATATTGGCGCATGATTAAGTGGGTGATGAGTGTTCTCCCATATTGTTTGTCCGCACATGCAGTGAGGACTACTGGGCAACAGGGACTGGTGGACCAGAGTCCATTTGGTGGGATTTATCTCTTTAATAACTGTGAGAGTTGTGTTTCGCTACCCTAAGGGTTACATAATAACACACTCTGGCTCTCAGGCGTTACTAATGCTCTGATCCTGCTAAATGGACCTAGTTAAGTCTTATATTAGGGGGCTGGTTCATCCTCCATCCTGTCCCTTGTTCCCCTTTGTACAGGAGCATCTTTCTCCCAGCTCTCCTGGGGGGTTTCAGCCTGTGACCGTGAGGTGTATATAAGACCCGAGAAGGATGTTACCACCATTGAAGTTAGCCAGGACCCTGCACAAAGAGGAGACTTAACCTTAACCAGCAAGAGTATTTCCTCTGTTCTCCAGGAGCCGAGCCTTTCGAAGTCAACAGGTGTAAATTGGACAACAAAAATCCTTCATCAGCCTTTGTCAACAGAAGTCATCTGACATCCCCTTCGGTTTGAGACCATGGACACAGCTGCGATGGTGACTCTTCTGGCTCTGGTTGTGGCGATGGCCGGCGTCAGTCGGGCTCTTCACATCCAAGGCAGTCTGGGCAAAAATGACGTCCTGCCAGACTCAGAGGAGAACATGGTCGACCACCTGCTGGGGCTGGTGAGACACACTCACACTTCCTTTCAAGTCTTAGCATTAGTATTAGAATATGTGTTGTCTCCCATATCATTTATGTTACATCCAATTTGCCAAAATAACTTTGACCATCTGAAAATAAAAATCTAATTTTGAGATGTATCTCAGGCACTCATGGTTGAGGGGTAATATGTACTGTGTCTCTAGGCAGGATGTAAATATGGACTGTCTGCTGTGCCCCATTAGACTGAATGAAAAACTCACACAACCTGAAGTCATGCCAACATGTCCAGAGAAGCCTGTCACTCCATGTGATGAAGTACATAAATGGGATTTGAGCCCTTTTATCAAGCGAGACGAGCTAAATCACATAACTCATTTAGATTTCAGACAGTGTTCCTCGTCATGCAACAGAGTGAAATGCACTGTAATATATCCTGGGGGCAACAGAGAGTCAGAGCACGGCAGAGGAGGAGGATTCAGATCACAGGGAAAATGATAAGATTTTCCTTGTGTGGCGTGCAGAGACAGATCTTGGTTTTACTTTGCATAAAGATGAGGGTGGATGGATATTTGAGTAGGCATGAGGTATATTTCTTTGCCTTTGTACACTTGTATCTACATCTCAAGGTCCCTTTTCGCAGCAGGACTGAGAGTAACACCCCCTGGGGTTTGTGTTGCAACCCAAAATTGAATGCGGTTAGGGTTCCCGATGTTTTCCCAACATATTCGTGTGCGGTGTTGAAAAACAGAACACATGGTTTTTGATGCAAGGCTTTGCATTTGTTTATGTGTGTGCTGCTGTGCTCCAGGAAAATGAAGACACAGATGACAGCATTGATGATCGTCTGCTGACCGCGGCGCTGAAAGCTCTGCTGCTCGGATCTCAGAGAGAAACCAGGAACTCTGTCCTCCATCAGCCACAGAGGTCGGTCCACACACACACATACATACACACACACACACACACACACACACACACACACACACACACACATACATACACAATACACAGTGCACAAGAAACCATCAAACTGTTTTCTACAACACGTTAGCATTTCAACCTTCTGTATAGCATTTTCCTATCAACACTGAATTATAACCAAACATTTATCAATTCTAAAAAAAAGTTAAAAACAGCAATTGGATCATGGCCCAATTCCATGTTAGACAAAATTCATCATGTATTATTTATACAGGCCTTGATTTTTGTAATTATCGGTGTAGTGCAGCCATGCAGATAGGGCTGCAACTAATGATGAATTTCTCGATTAATTGACCTGTAAAACATCAAAAAACGGTAAACAATGCCCATCCCAATTTACAAGAATCCAATGTGATGTCATCAAATGTCTTGTTCAAAAGCAAAAGACATTTTATTTTCTATGATATTGTAGGACAAAAAAAAAAAGCCTGAACACAAGAATATTTGACATTTTGCCTTGAAAATTGACCTAAATGATTATCAAAATAATTTGTCTGTCTACCAGCTAATCAGCAACTGATTGAGTTCAGTTGATCCACATGCTGATAAAATGAAATCAATTTGCAACTATTTTCCATATCTGAATGAACTAGAAACATATCTACCATTTTTAAACATCATGTAGTTGAGATTGTTTGTTAAGATGTTTCAGGAGCCAAACAGTTATCTAAATAAAAGATTAGATCATGTTTTTTAACTGAAATTGTAGTCTCAACCTTAAGGGTTTAAACTTTTACCTTTAACTGCCTCCTTGTATCAGTCCTTCCTACTCTGATTAGACAGTTTGACAAACAGACCGAATGATTCTTATGTATTTGCAGCTTGTGAATTCTCCATGCCTCATCAAACGTGTGTGGTCATTCCTGCTGAGGTCCATGATATAAACAAGTCTTTCATTTAAACCTATTACTTTGAATTACATCAGTTCCTGACTCTGTCTCTCCTCCCTTGCAGGTTTGGCCGTGGCTCCAGAGTGCAGGTAGTGTCGGAGGATCAGATACATTCCCGTGACCGGGAGGCTGCCCCCGGTCAGATCTGGAGTATGGCCGTGCCCCAGAGATTCGGCAAGAAATAATCCACGCATCAATGTCCTGGCATGAGGCCAAGCGGCGGTGCAGCTGTGGAGAGACAAAATTTGAATGAATAAATCTGAATAATATTACGAATGATAATACACTTTGTTTTTCAAAATTGTCTCATCCCATTTTGCCTTGTTTGACACGTTTAGTTAAAGATGACATGAGCTTAATTTCACTGTTTTTCTTTCTAATTTCCAGCACAGCATGTTTTGAGGTCCTTGAGGTTTTGTGAGCAGACCTCATTTATCCCGACTAGAATGTTATTTAGGACCAAAAGTGTTTGCTGTTATTTGAACAGTACATTTTCTGTTGTTCTCTCGTTAAATAAAAGAGCTTTGAACTTGTAAAAGATAAACTTGTGTGTATGTGTGTGTGTTCAAAATGACCACTTTTTAAAGATCAGGACTACAGATGTTGAAATTGTATGAAATCTCTGTTTCTGTCGGCATGATACAAAAATATAACTTGAAAGAATATTTTAATATTTTATAAACTATTTCAATATTTTAAATTACAGATTGGAGTTGTAACTACGGATCCTTTTCAGTATCAGTTCCTCTGTGGGTTTTTTATAATCTATTCTATTCTATTCTATTCTAATTCTATAAACTGATTAACGGACAAAACTATAAAATCAAATCAAAATTTGCCAACTCAACTTCTCAAAGCACATCGGGATGTCTTCAAACGCCTTGTTTTGTCCCAAACTCAAAATATTGGATCTAAATGAATATAAAAGCGGTGAATGCTTGTGCATGAGTTTTACTGTGATGTTGTGCAGTATATCTAAAGTCTGCTGTCAGTGTTTAATCTGTCGATTTACCACTCTATTTGGATTTAGTTGCTGTACAACATTTATGGATTTACAACAGCTGTTCAGTTGGATGTTTATAACACTGTGTCAGGTATTTGTCGGGTCTGCAGAAAATATGAAATTATTGTCAGAAGACATTTCATAATTATTCAAACACTATCACACAAACATCTGCTAGACTATAAGTACATTATCATTTTTCCACTACCTTAAATTTGCCTGAATTGGCTCGCTCAGACACCAGAGGAATGTAAATTCAGTGAAGAACACTGGACTGCACTGCATATAAGAAGGAAAATATATCATTAGACATTTAGTTACTTCACTTTAATCTCTACAGCCTGCAGACAGCTGCGTGTAGAATTAGGTTTTATGGGACGTGGATGGGGAATGTCTAATGTGTTTATTTGTCTATTGCTGCACAGCTCTTACAGACTAACAGCGGGTGTTGTAGTTCTGTCCGTGGTGAATTTACAGGCTACCTGGGGAAGCAGCACGCAATAGGCTTCGGCACTAATTAAAACACAGCAACCTACAATTATTCTACGCTTTCACAGTTATCGCAGCCAATTACTGGGAAGGAAAGCACGTCAATCCCTCTTAGGCAGTCTTTTATTAGCCTGACCTCCCATTTCTCTTCATGAGCCCGGAAGACAGAATGAAGAATTACTAGTGCTGATTGGAGACCATCAATGGATGACCTCTTGATTTTTTCCATCACTGCCAACCCTTGTCCGTTTGTTTTTCTGACAATAAGATCACGTCCATTCAAAATCTTTTCTAGTTCTCTCTATTACACCATCCATTTTGAAATGCTACAGTTTTTCAGGGTAACTTTTCAAAGTTCAAAAATATTGTGCATAATATAATATTGTATAGCCTAGGTCATTCAGCTAAAACATTATCACCACAAGATGCAGTGCAAGAAAATAAGCTCATAAAAGGACGAGGTGGAAGAACAAGTGTTAGCAAATCAAATGTCGAAAGATAGTTACGCTAGCTAATTATAAGCCTGAGGCAATGCTAACTAATGTAGGAGCTATAGGCTCAATAATATGGAGACAGACGAAAAGAAAAGGTTCGAATTAGTGGTGGTCGCCCTATAATCAAGAAATACATTAGCTGTCACCATATTCGATTACAGTGTGACAGCTAGCTAGATTTAGCGCTTCATTATCAAGACTGTCCAGTTAGCTCCTTGAGTACCTGTGCTCTGAAAAACAGCTGTTACGAGTGTGAGACAATGTGAAAAACAGAATAAAGATGATTTATTTTTAATATTTTTAAACATAACTTAGCCTACTTTTAGTGACTAACATCGAGGTGACAAAGTTGCAAACATGGCGAAGAGGGTTGCTAGTCTTGGCTAGATATTGCCAGGACTGGTATTTACTAACTGTTGATTAATTTAGCTACTGTATTTTTATTCAAATGTGCCAGTGCATTTACAGGCTGAGAGAAATACGGCACACATGTTTCAAAAAGCAATGTAGGCAGAAATACGCTAACGGCCACTGGCACTGAGCCATCTGACTATAAAACATCTCGCGTAACAGCAACTAGATCTCGCTCCGGTAATTCAACATACATAAAGTTGCTATGGCTACTCGGGGTGTCGATTACAAATCAGGTTTGATTTCAAAAACATTTCGGCTGGTGAGAGATCTCAGAAAAAAATTGAGACGGAGAATGAGAAGAGAGAAGCCTATCTCCATTGATGGGTAAAGAAATCATTTTTAACATATGTAGATGGTGGTTATAATGCATATTTGTGAGTGTTTAAACAAAGACATTGATGTTAAAGAGAGTAGATGGACAAGGAGGAGGTGATGGACTATGAGTACAGATGAGTGACAGTTGGCAAGATGGAAGAGGAATGAGGGCCAGACATGGAGAGTGTCTGGGTATCAAGGCGACCCTCTTTAGCCTCTTTCTGGCACCCAGCTGGCATCACTAGCAGCTTCAGTATACTGCTGCGTCAGCACTTAAAGAGAGTTGAGAGAGCTTATGTGGCAACTGTGGCTCAATGGAGAGCAGGGTCATCCTTCAATCAGAGGTTCAATCCCCGGCTCCGCTAGTAGTCCATGTCAATGTGGGCAGGACACTTAACCCCAAATTGCTCCCGTAGCTGTGCCTTTGAGTGGTTGGAAAGACTATGCAAGTACAGTCCATTTACCATTATCTGCTCCATTTTGCAGAGGATGAATCAGACAATAGCTATCAGCTGCTGCAAGAAAACCGAAGGGCAATAAATGAACCGTCCACAAATTTGAATGGCACTCTAGCTTATTGCCATTCGTCGGAGCACATTTTTCTTAATTAATTTCAATGGATGAAATGCTGCCCCCATTCTCAGAGTCTCCACTGGTTTCTAAATAAAGACAAGAGGGGATTGTTGTGCTGACTCCAGAGGATGCCAAAAGCTTCTTTCATTCTCTCTCACTGATCTTGTACTGATGCAGTGGCAGGGCTGAGTCACAAGACAGAAATCAAAAGGAACAACGCCCCCTCTTGGACAACAAACAGTATCACAGACGTGGTGTGTGCTGAATCTCTCATTTAGGGGACTGCCTTCTTCTCTTTCCTCTTTTTCTTCCTCCAAACCATCCCCCCGAGGGTAAAGTGATGAAAAGTGAGTCAGGTCCCGACTCCTGAAACAGTTTATAGAATGGCCCATTTCAGAATAATATATATTCTATTGCCAGATTAGGATTATTGATGTTTCGTAAACAACATGTATCTATGCTAGCCCATGGCCAGTAAGTAGAAATACGGGTTAGAATCAAGCTGGGGCCAGCCCTGAGGGAAGCAGCTGTGTACTGCTCTTTAGCGGAGCTGGGGCAATTAACCTGACCTACATTTACCAAGTTATTCTTAATTCTTTATGACTTCTCCGAAAAATACTATTTAAAAGCACAAACATTCATCTGATCTTTGTGTCTCTTGTAGACGTTTTTTGAGAGTGATATGGGTTCATTGTTTCCCCTTGTGGGCCGTTGGGGGAAAAACACCCAAGCCATTTTCGGCTCAAAAAGTATTTTTTGCAAAAGAGGGATCCCCCACCAGGACGTCTGAGTGTGCAAAAGGTGTACACTTGTGCAGCAACAAGAGCAATGACAAGGAAATAAGAGAAATAAATATGAGGTAACAAGAAACATGTTGAGACAAAAGATAAGACAGAGGTAGCAGGGCGTAGGTGCTGTTGATCAAACAGCTGTAGCCTCTGATCTGCACAGCTGAGTTAAAGAAATATTCAACTCATCTGAATTTCATGAGTCGGCAGGGGGTTCAGACAAAAAGTCTGTGTGTGCAGCAATTATAACAGACACACAGACTTACAGAGAGATAAGAGACTGAGAGAGATAAATATAAATTGTATTATTGCCACCAACTGTATACAGTAACTGAAAAATATACAATACAATACACAAAATATACTAACTGCACTTATCTTATGGCCTTCTCAATCTACTGTATGGCTCGCTGACCATTCCCCGACCCCCCTGCTCCCATTGTCCCTTAAGGTCATCATCTTGGAAGGCAGCCATCTTGAACAGAGCAGAGGGAGGTCTCAGCCATTATCGGCCGTGGCCATGACACAGCACAATTTGTCACACACAAACAGGCTTTCATGGCTACAGGGTGAGTGAAAAATAAAAACTATGTCAGTGTCAAGGGTAAACTGCAAAGGTGTGCTATCCTGCATGACTAAAATCACAAAGAGTTATTTTCCTTTGCAACAAAACCAGATGGCAAACCATGCTGCTGTGTTTAAGTTTGTGTATCATTCCGTGCAGCCCTTGTTTTCCATTCATAGTCTATTAACACTCTTTAGCAGTAATGAAAAAACAAACATGGTGTGATTTTAACAAGATAACTGACCACAACCTCATGTTATGCAGCACTCTACCCTCTATCGTAAGAGATAATTGGCTGGAAACTTAAGGTAGTTGCACATGTATGTGCATGGTTTGGTTTGATGTTTCCAGGTAATATTTAGGTCTGTTTGAGGCTTTTTATTGTTTGCTCTCTGACTCATGGTTTGGGTTCAAAATAAGACAGCTAAGCTTCATATCTGATTAAAATGAAAACTGTTGGCGGGGACTGTAAAAACTAAAATAATGAAACAACATTCAGTATTAGATTAGGACCTCTACCAGTTTGTAGGAGTGTGTATGAGTGTGCATGGCTGTGGGCTGTTTTCTGTGAAGTTTGCTCAACCAGAGACACAAACACTGCAATGATAACACACATTGTACAATTTTATTTGAGTTTTCCCTTCAGGAAAGAGGTTCTCTCTCTCTCTCTCGCGCACACACACACACACACACACACACACACACACACACACAGAGCATGTGGTCTTTTATTAACACACTTCTCTAGGTCAATGACAGATACATAATTCAATAAAAGCTCTTATTAAAGTGGCAACTTTTTATTATCACTCACTCTCTCACTCTCAGCTACAAACAGTAATGGCTGAGTAAAGAAAAAAGAGGAGTTTTTCAGATGTCAGACAATGAATACATTCTCTATCTAGCTTATGGGTCTTTCCCATCCCATACACTTAGTACTGTATAAATGAGGGGTTATTGGCAAACCAAGAGCCAAGTTTAAAATCACCCCTGTGGCTTAGTGATCTAGGACTTGTGCCATATGGCCACAGTGTCTCTGGTTTGATTCCAGCTGGGGACCTTTTGTTGTAGGATATCCCCACCCCCCTCTTCTCTTACCCTTTTCTCATATTTGCTGTCGGCCATTTACAGTCTTACATCTTACGAGATGTATATTGCTTACACAGTTATAGTATATAGTGGTCTAAATGTGGCTGTCATCCTCTCTAAATCATCTCTTAAGCTACCAGTTAGTGTCTGGACAAAACTGTTAACGCCTCTTCATCAATTTCCAAGATGAGCTTTAAGCTTTTGAATCAAACGATATTGATTTGAAGTTTTTTTTGTTTTTATGTGATTGAACTTGAATGTTTGCTTTAAAAAGAAATATAATCTGGCGATATGATTGTCTAGTTCATTTGTTATTACATCCCAAAATGTGCTGCAAATCTGGATGAACAGCACACCACCATATGCCTCTTGGCTGGTGTCAGGTATCAGGGCCCAGTAGACGTGTGATAAAGGGACACTCTAAGAGGGAATCAATAAAGATTGTGCTGGCCAGGCGGCAGCGAGGACAAGCTTGGTCAGATAAGAACAAACCTCAGATGAACATTTCAGAAGCTCAGTTTTGGCTCAAAACTGTCATTATGGAGGCTTATTATTTATAAAATATACTGCAGGTATCTGGGTAAAATAGCTGTTGTTTATGAAAAAAACATGCTAACACATTTGTCTGTGACACTCACAGAAATTGCTGTAGTTAATATTGTCAGGGGTGTGTGTGTATGTATGAGAGCGATGATTCATTCTGACTGATCCTCTTTGTATTTATATTTAAGCACGTGTAGGAAGGGTATTTTAAAAATACCTTCTCTTAAAGCAGATGCCGGATCATGCATCTTTTTCTACCCATCCAACAGATAAAGAGAGAGAGGGTGTCTTTGTCATCCTCTCTCTCCCGGCTGTGCGGGGGCTGCTGCAGAACAGCCCTCATCTCAGACATCCAATACAGACAGAAAGAAATGTGAACAGAGGGCGGGACTTGCATGAAAAGGGAGTTGGGCACAGCGAATGAGAGCGAAGGAGAGGTGTTCCGAGCCCATAATGCCCTTGCCTCAGCGCCGAGAGCCAGGGGAGACTGACAGAGAGAGAGAAAGAGGGGAGAGTGAAGCCGGGGTTGAGACACCAGCTGGTGGTGAGGATAGAAACAAACAGGGTGCCAAACAAAAAGCTAGGGTATCAGAGAAAAGTGTGTGAAAGGATAGAACTAAAGAACAGAAAATAGTCAGGAAGAAACTATAATGCAATCTTAGTTTTTCCTAAGCTGGAGCCAACTCATATTCAGCCACCCTCACTGAGCTCTTTACCCTCCTTTCCTCTTACGGATTCTCCCTTCCCCTCCTCTTCCTCTTCGTCCTGTCCTCCTCTTTGACAGACAGAGCCACCATGGACACCGGGAGCCCCAGGAAGATACAGTTCACCGTTCCCCTGCTGGACACCCACCTGGACCCAGAGGCAGCAGAACAGGTGAGGAGGAAGAGGAGGTGGTTCCAGGGATGCGGGACATCCAGGCTTTTGAAGGTTTCCTTTAATGCATCAGTGACTTTTAGCAAAATGAATGTGGAAAGATTTAAAAGGAAATCAGTGTCAATGCTTGTCACACAAACCAAGTGGGTGCAGACAAAGCTGAGCAACTCAACTGGAATAAAAAGATGCAGTGTGCTCTGTCCAAATGTGTGTAGTCTGATTGACGCTTTAAAGAAACCACATTTTCCGGAACTCATTACTCCCCTGCACCTAAATAGCAAGCTTTCGAATGTGGTGCTTAAGTCATCATAGGTTCTTCGAGACACAGCATCTCAGAAAAAGGGGTGTTGCAGTATATGGATGCGTCTCCAGGGGTTTGCCGTTGTTTTGGTTTGAGTGTCTGGCGGCACGCACTGTACATCTGTGATATACTGACAAAAGTTGCCTGCAATCACAAGATAAACTCATTCCAAATCAAACCGCTATCAGCAATTGGGATAATTTCATCACATCAATCTCAAATATGTATAAATAATAGATTGTAGCTGCATAGCTCGGATTAAAGCTATTTATCAGTTTCTTTTTGTTTTTTAGGATCTTATAAACTCAACATCACTTAAATAAACAAGACCAAATATCTCTTATATGTAATTGAAAAGCCCAATGGGTACAATTCATGTGTTTTTAGAGAATGTAATGAAAAGATGTGTCCCACTTTCACATTTTTATAAATATAACATGGTCATTAATAACAAATGAGCCTCAAGAGAAACCAGCAAAGATTTATGAGTCTGACTACACCCCATTTATATGTCTCTCTCTGAGAGACATATAACATGAGAGACATGAGGACATTTCATTGGATGGTTTGGTAATACAGTATGGTCTGGGGTAAGGTTCAGGTTGAGTTAGAGCTACTGGTATGATTAAGTCAGTTGTGAGGCTCAGATGTGAGGAACTGAATGTGCAGACCTTAACCATCATACTCTATTATGTCATTCTCTGCATAAATGTTCCCCCTCAGCTGGAATTACCTGCAGTGAAATAACTTCTGCTGACATAAAAAAGGAGCACAGCTTCAAATGCACACATCATTTTTACATAATTTGTTGTGGTTTGTAATTTTACAGTATGAAAAGACCATCTGATGTAAGGTTCCCCCAGTTTTCATGTTTTATGGGTAAACAAGTTTGAATAGAAAATAATTTAACGTGGCTTTCTGACACATTAAACAACAACAAAACAAACTTAAATGTCAAAATTAAAATAGACTACTACAAGCTCTGAATTAATAACAGATCTAAAGTACAGGGGCTGCACGGTGTTGTTGGGAATACGGTTTTCTCCGGCTTCTATACACAGTCCAAAGACATGCAGTTAATTGACGACTCTAAATTGCCCATAGGTGTGAAAATGAGTGTGAATGTTCTGTCTCTGTGTGTCAGCCTGCAATAGTCTGGCGACCTGTCCAGGGTGTACCCTGCCTTCGCCCAATGTACTCTGCCCCCACTCGCTTCCCTGAAAAGGATAAGCGGTTATGGGTAATGGATGGATGACTATAAAGGACAGGATACTATTTTACCTCTTTTAACAGGACAAACGTAAATCACCACTGCTGCAGCCAACATGCCTTTTACGCAGCAGACATTTTGAAACAGGTGAAACACATTTCTTTAACGCTGGCTCAGTTCCATCAAGTGTCCCAGGACGCCATGACAGTGAGCCAGCATGCACAATACCAACATCCTACACGAAGCTCACTTAAGTAGAGTGCCGTTGTTATGTTATCAATTACACCGATATGCTTTTCCTGCTATGACGTGCCAAAATGTCTGCTGTGAAAAAGGTCAACGGCTTTAGAAGTCTCATAATTAGTCACCTGTGACGCGTTCTCATGATAAATGAAGAACTTAACATAATCATTGGCTTCCAAACCAACCAGGACTGAAATCACTGATTATGTATTTAATCAAACTCCCAGCAGATGAGCATAGAGGTTGGATGGCATGATTATCTGGACCTAAAGCTTATTGGTTTGTGCCAGTGTGGTTTGATTATGTTGCTGTTAGAACTCAGAAGCATCATTACGTGTGTAATTGATATTAAGGACACTGTGTATGTAAATTGGTGCCTGTGGTACAATTGTAACAAGTGTGTTTGTGTCTGTGTCTTCTCTCATTTGTTCTTCACCTCTGTATATCATTTGAAAAATACAGATGTAATTCAAGTCGCTTAGGTCTCCGTGTCTGTCCTGTTTGTGTCTGCATGTCTGGGAGTCGGTGTCCACTGTCTGTGTTTATTTAGCCACATGTCTGATCCCAGGCTGCAGCCGGTCAATACAGGATCTTAAACACCTCCAAGCCTAGTGTTTACCTTCTCTTCTTCACCTGCAGACAGATCTTTTAGCGATAAGACTGAAGAGAGTTCTGGGCTCTCGGCCTCAATAAGCATGGCCACAGCTTGGATGATTGCCTTTGAGACTTTATCTTTTTTAGGATATATTTTCTATTTATTATACGACTACTGTGAGTGGCCAACAAGTCTGCACGGCATGCTTGGTCTTAAGTGTTTTTTTTGTGTATGTGTGACAGACAACAGCGCAACCATCAGATATAGAGAAAGTGAAAAAAAACCAAGTGTGTTTTGTGCTTGTCTCTGTGTTTACAACCTTGCTTCTAAATATCACGCCAGGGGGCCTCACCCATGGTTCAGTGATCTTTGCAACCTGTCCCCCCGACATAGTGAATCAGCCTCCGTAGAGACCTGCATGTCAGTCAGAACCCTTGACCCTTCACGACATCAGCATTCACACATTCATCCTGATATCTGCAGAAAGACACAGTCTGTTCCACCATTATCGTAATGACATTACATTAGAGCTCATTGTGTGCTTACGAGCACAAACTGACTGTACCCGATAGAGGTCAAGACCTGATAGTGTCAGTGGATAGTGGTGTCTTTTAGATTATTTTTGCAGCGGTTATTTAGATATTCTTCTCACCAGTGGAAGTAGGTTTTGTTCGTTTCAGAGAGGTTCTGTTACGGTTTGACTGATGGAATAGTTTGACATTTTGGGAAATGTATACCAATACCAATCTCTTTAGATCCATTAGATGGTTTGCTTTTTTTAGGTTAGCAAAAAGACTGGAAAAGGGGACAGCAAAGCCGGCTCACATAGACGACCAGACTCCAGTATGTCAGTGCACCAGTCCATAGTTTTTGTACAGATTAAACAAATGAGGTGGAAAGCTGGAGCTTTAGAGGTGCTGGTAGGCAGATATTATCTTTAAACAGAGCCAGCTTGCCCAAACTTTTGCTTTAACTCTGCCTTTATGTCTACATTATATCCATCGTACACACACTCATCAGTAAAAAACAAAACGAGGCAGCATTAGTGAACTAGCCATGTTAACACCAGGTTATTATCTAACATTAAGGCTGTTAATAGAGTATGCCGAACATGATTAACACAGCTGGTTTACCTCTAAATTAAACTCAAATTTCTCTTTGCATGTTTACAACTTTGAGTGACAATTCACGGATCAAATGAAATCTAATCCCATTTGATATTGAACTAAAATGTTTGCCCTATAAAGGGCCCTTGCTTGAGAAATCTACATTCATGGATGATGAGATGAGGAATTGTGACATATTGAGGTTATGTCCTTTAATTTCAGGGTTGATGGTGTCCTCCCTAATATTCCCGATGCTGATGTGTCTTTGTCCTTGACAGAGAACATAATGAATACTCTGTATTGACTCAGGAAGGCCATTTTCTAAGAAAATCTTTTGAGTGCAGTATTATATTTATCACCCCATGAATATCTCTTGCTCATTGAGGAAATCAATACTGTTAAATGGAAAATATATGGGTTAGGTCTACATACATTACTGCTTTGCAAGGTTACAAATGGTATATTTTTATTTGTAACTTTTCCTGCTTTTTGACTGTTGGCTGCACCCTCCTCAGAGCAGTGATTGTCCAATCACAGCATAGCAACCATAACCTCAACAGTTCTGTCCAGCTTTGGATTTCCTGACACGCTAAAGCGCCTTTACAAAACCCAAAACTCATCAGCAAAAGTGTAAGGAGATCGAGCTAAAGGTTAGCTGTTAGCTTAAGCTGCAAACATGAATAGCATGTCTAACTAACATTCTACCAACACTATAACCAAGCATTACTATCAAGGTCAAGGAGTATCATCAGCTAACTAGCTACCTATCGGTTTCTCCTCATCCTCCAATCCTTTCCTCTTTCAACGTTAAAAGTTAAAACATGGGCTACAATTTGACAATATGGACCAGTATGTAAGCTAAGCAGCCAAACAGGGTTAATAGTTACCTTTCTTTTAACATAAGGACTGCAGCGACATGTAGCTTTGAACTCAGTCTCAAATTGAGTCCAAAATTCCATACTAACATACTATTTAGATTTTTTTTAGCTTGTACCTTAGTATGAAACCAATAGTATGTGAATTGCATACTACTTCCAGGGAAATATTACAGTATGCAAACACTGGACACTACGCCGGCCATAAATATCACGGGTCATGTTTAAGTGACGGGGTAATTACAGTTCACTGTGTTTATTCACACATAAATATGTTGAATCATGATAGTACACCTATGAAGTATGTAGTCCATAGTATGTTATTACGGAAGCGTTGTCAGTGTTTTAGCACAATATAATGTGTGTGGCCACCAAGCGCTGATTTAAGACCCCTTTTACAAGGTTCTTGTTTTAAAACGAGTCAGCTGGAAACATTACAAAGTCAAAAGGAGGTTGAATTTCAACCAACTCATAGAGCCATCATTTGATTAATTTGCAACCAACTACAGCTGATAAAATCTGCCGATGACATTTGTTGATTTATAAAACTCGACAGTTGCCAGCAGGAAATGAGAAGCCTTCTTTTGTCTACTTCTCATTGAGGACCCATTGATTCAATTTCCAGTTCTTTGAACACGTTCACAGCTGCCGCAATAACAGGCCTGAAAGGAAAACTTCCACGCTGCCTTCATTTGAAAACATAATGTTAAGCCCTCATTGTTCTCAATTTGTATTAAATAATAAACTGCTGCTATGATTCTCAGCAAAAAGATATTATTACAGCGATTAAATTGCAGCTTGTGCATTGCATGCTCCCTCCAGCTGGTTGTGTGATATGCAGCAAAAGGGAAGATGATAAGAAGGCTGTTAACAGTGGAGAAGACAAAGGATTGATAGGAAGTGAGAGGGAGGCAGAGGACTGAAGAAACTCAGATAAAAGAAAAAATAAGTCAGTGAGCTGGGGTTTTGATGCCCTGTGAATACAGTAATTCCCTCTATTCAGAGCCAAATGAGACCACAGTTGGAGAGGGTCTGTGAGGATTTATAATGGCTGAGCACTGATTTTAGGCTGAACAATACCAAGATCATGTTTCAAACGACAGGACGAGGAATCACATGAATCCTCGTCTGTGCATTGTACTGAATTACTGATAGATCAGTACTGCCTCGGTCCAGCCAATAACAAGGTGCTGGGAACGTTTTCTTTAACCTTTTTATCTCTGCAGCAATTTACTGGGTGTGAATTCATGGCACTGACTCGTGCAAACACATTATTCTGGTGAAGGTCACAGGGCAACTCTGATAGCACAAATACTACACATTTACCAGTGTTTTTCTCAAAGGGAAATCAGGGTTAGGAGGTAAAGGCTTTACACCTTAGAATTTCCCTACAGTACATTTTGAATTACAAACCTTTTTGCTACCTCTGTCACCCCAATTAGTTGTGAGTTTGGTTGTTCCACGATAAGAAAATAGTTCCCAAAGTCAAATCTGTTTCAAGCTATAAAACCTGAACAATAGCTGAAGCTCCTTCAACCCTGTTCATTCACCTGCACTGAAATTTAAATGTGAAAGGACATTGCATATACAATAAAATGGACAAATACCAAAAACCTACTAAATATCAATACTGAGACAACTTGAGATCCTCGGCTCTGGACATTGTTTTATCAGCTTGATAGTTCATGGACTTTCCTAATTTTACAATAATTGCTTAAAAACATGATTTTGAAATGATGGCATATTTCAAAAGTCCTATACAGAAGATTACACATCAGTTCCATTGGCGGTGAAACAGGAACTTCCTGGTTCTGTTCCAAAAGTAAGAAATTATCATTCAAAATTCCATTTGACATTTGAAATATGGTAAAAAAATATATAACGCTGTCTCAACCGATGCCATCATCATGGAAGTCTGTAGCACCCATCTCAGGTAAACACTACCAGCTTTGTCAGCACTGTTGTCATTGTTGGCACCGTTGGCTGCGAGCCGCCGGCTCTGCTGTCGCCATGTTGAGGGCAATAGAAATTAACTGAATTTCAAATTCTGCACCTTTTGTATAACTTTGTTAAAACCACCAAGGTTTCAATCTCTAATGGTTAATGCTGTAGAGGTTGTAGATTTGTCTTTGAATATGGAGAGAAAACCTCAGGAGCACACTTCATTTTTTTTTCCGGAAAGACAGATGAAAGAAATGCAGAATGTGACATAATGTATAACATATAAAAGATGATATATCCTTTTTTTGCCATAAAAACAATGTTTTTATGGTCCTATTCTTCATCTAATGTACAAGTTCAGTTGGCGGCAAAGGGAAGTGTTACACTTCAGCTGTTTTCTACATATCGGGTTTTAATGAGGTCAGAAGGAATTAAAATAATTTCAGGGTTGATTTTGCAATTGATTTTTTGCACAGACAACATTGGGGTCTGTGGGGCCACAAACGATGAAGAAATAAAGCCAATGTCAACAAACACAAGTGTTAAATATGAAACAGGACTTTGTTTCTGCTGTCTTTTAGCCTGACCTATATTTTCCAGCCAAGTATATATTTGGCTGCTGCCCCCACACAAGAACATCAGGCATGCACGGCTTTTTCCTGCCCACCCATCACTTTTTGAAGGCTGCTTTTGTTCGTTGTTGTGAGAAGTGACAGAACTGCATTTTAAACGGACTGTAAGATGAAAGGCATTCACGGCGGTTTGAGGGAAGAGCCTGTCCAGTAAGCATTGGTATTTGTGTGAGCGAAAGATCAGGGAGTTAGCTTTGCTGCCGGGTGAGCAGAATAACAATGACTTTGGCTCAATCTGTTCCACACAGCCATGGCTCGTTGTGGTTTAATGGGCGCCGTGAGGGGAGTTTTCTGGAATGACAACAAAAGACACACACAAGGCTGAAATATTAGTTCATGTATCTATAGTATACAAAAGGAAATACATCTTGATATCTAAATATAAACCTGAGTCCCAAAGTGCTTCACAGAAATATACAGAACAAATCACAAAATCATACTGTAAAACAAAACTTGACAAAAACAAAATTTCAGCAGGAAACATTTATAAAAACAGAACTTGATCACTTGATGTGATTTAAAACTTTCCACAGATATTGCTGACCTGACCCATAGGGGCAGACTGTTCAATGACCTGGAATCCAGGAGTGCAAAGCACAGTCGTCTATATAGTCTTAAACTTTTAATTGTGAAACAGTTACATAGGAGACTCAGGGCAACTCGAGACTTGATTACTTATGATTGTTTTTTGCTTTATTATGATTTTAATTAATCTTTGGAAAAAGTGTGACCTCTGCTTAAAAGAAAAATAAACAGTTACAGTCCAACAAGCACACATAAAAGAGAACAGTGGGGGCAATTTAGTGCCTCATCTTGGTTTCTTTTTGTAGTTATTTGGCATGGCTAAATCAGCTGTATTATGAAATATTGTTCATTTGCATTTACACCTCATACTATACATGTCCTGTACGGTTTGTGGGTAGATAAAGGTAAAAAAGACCTCCGCCTGTTTGGTAAAGAAAAGAAAACTCACTCAATGCCTCCTCTTATTCTCTCAGCCCTCCTGTACTCCATGGCTGTGATTTGAAAGGTAATGAAGATGAAACCTCTTAAAATCTGAATACCTAATTAGACTTGGCTAATAAGATACTACTGACTGCTCCCTTTTCATTACTGCACATTATTCCTGCAGCTACATCTGTATTTTTTATTGAACAGAGTCTAAAGTGATGTTTTGTGTTATTTAATAATTTCCTCACACATTTTGTTGAACACTGCAAAGCCTCAAAGTCAAACCTGCAAATTGGATCCAAGGGCAACAATTCACGTTCTGATTCTCCTCTCTCACTTTTTCCTTTTAACTGTGAATGCACCTGCTACAAAAATGAATCCTATCTTTTTGCTTTGATCATTAGTTTCTCATCTTTATAGAAAGGAGTTTAACTACTAGCCTCACAAAGTACAATGTGATGCTCCACTGTGCGGGCTGAGGTTAAACTTCATGGCCTACACAGCTGTATAAGTGCACAACCAGCATTTAGAAAAGATGCATGGAGGACTGGAGCTTGCACATCTTCCAACATTAGTCAGCAACCCTGTCAGCTATGTGTGAGGAGTGCATTAGTGTGCATGTGTGTGTGTGTGTGTGTGTGTGTGTGTGTGTGTGTGTGTGTGTGTGAGAGTGCAATTGACTCTATTTAAATTCCCATATAACAGCCTTTTTAGTTTTATGAGTAAAATGAGATGAAATGGAAAAGTAATTACCTCATCCTGGAGGCGACTGGACATTAATCACTGTGCTTTCCCCCAACAATATGTGGTCTCATAGTTTTGGAGATATAGATGCAAAGCTGATTTCATTTCAGATTTGCGGAACCTTGTGGTGCATATTCCACTGTGTTTCAGCCCTACTGGATACTTTAAAGCTGTTGCTCGTGGTTAAGAGGGTCACCATTTATTTTCTCCCTCGTTATTTTCACCTCCCTTCTCCTTATTTTAATTGGAGTTAGGTTGACAGTCAAATGAAGAAGTTTCTTGTAGTTTTAGCATGCAGTGAAGCAGCATGAGCGACTGTTGCTTGGTAAAGCAGGGCCGTCCTTCAATCAGAGGATCGGTGGTTTGATCCCCAGCTCAGCTAGTCCATGTTGATGTGTCCTGGGGCTGTGCCTGCGGTGTATGAATAGGTATGAATGGTTAGTCGGAGTCCTGATGGGCAAAAAGCTGTTTGCATCTCTTATGTTCTTTTGGATGGACACTAATGGATACTTCAGTCTGTTCACAGTTACAAATAACAAAGGTTGTAACTCTAGTTTTTACATCCACAGGCAGATCTTTCTAACAATTAAACCGTAGATTTGGAGTCTCTGCTGCACAGCTCTGTGAAATGTGCGTGTACTTTCAAGTATTATCCCAGAATTGGTCCATAGCTGCCACACTCCACTAGTCATGAGCCAAGAAGCAAGTAGGTGGCAGACTGCCCTGCTGATCTCACTGCACTGCTGAGACCCAGCATTGCTCTCAACCAACTCAGGCGTCTTCAGAGACAACCAAATCCAAAATATGGATCACACAGGCTGTGTTATGGTCTGCCAGCATCGTGACAGAAAGTGGATGCTGAGTTATCCATACGACCGGTACTGAGGGAGCAGGGCTAGTCTTGCCCTGATTGGCTGAGTAATGACACACGTTTCAGTGCACTGCTTAGCATTTTGATTGGTTGAGCCAATACAAGCCATTGGAGGGCAAAGCCTTTGTGAAATTACAGCATGGAAGTGTTTGAGATTTATTAGGCAAGATTTTAGTGTTTTACTTCAAACTTAAAGTTCTTCAAGAACAACCTTCAAATTTAAGGTGTTAAGATGATTAGCTTCACAAAGCTTCATAATGTGCTTTACTGTCGTACCAGCAAACATTTGTAATGTTTTCTTTTTCTCACTTTAAAATGAAACTGTTCTACTTTTTCAGATCAGAAGACGCAGACCCACACCTGCCACTTTAGTGGCATCCAGTGATCAATCATCACCTGGTAAGGCACCTAAATGCAAACACATGCACACATACATGCTATTTTTGTCACTTGTGAGGGCATTGTATTCATTATCTGGGGGTCACCAGAAATGTCAGTGACAATTCTGTTTTATTAAAGCTTGCGTCTTATATTTGTAATTTTGGCCAACATTGTTTTTTGCTGACTGTACTGACTAAGTTCCTTACTGAAGCCCGAGGACATTGACTGCTACATGTGCAGCTCAACTAACAAGCAACCTAAACAAACCGTATAAAAGAAAGTCTGAACACTGAAATAACAGCTTGACCTTGAGCTTTTTGTCCCCGGATGGGAGATAAATCCCCACAATGTGATTAATGCAGGTACATGACCACAGAATAACAAGTTAACATTATTCTTTAAAATATTTCAGACATTTCTATTTCTTATTATGATTGCTGTGATGCACCATCTAAATTATATTTTGCACCGAGTGAATCTTCCTGCTGCATTAGAGCAACAAAACCCACCGTGTGTGTCTGTGTCCTCTCACGGGATCTTAATGATGAAACACAGCAGTGCTCCTCTAGAGAGTTGTCTTCTTCTCTGAGTCATCCAGTGGCTCCCTGCTTCCCCCACTGCCTCTGCTACTTCGATGTGTGAGTGTGTAATGTGACCCAAATTATAAGATGATCAGCTGGGAATGTAGGGCGGCGAGTGTCATTTTCTCCAGGTGAGAAAACAGAGGGTGATATTCTGTTTTGTATGAATAAATGAAGAGTTGATGCGTCATTGAGGATATTAGCAGAGACTGCCATTGTTGTATTGTTTAAAACTCACAGCATTTTATCTCTTAGAGTTGAGTGTTTTTATATTGAAAAAATAGTCTTTCTAATTGGGTCTGATGAAAAAGTCTTGTGCCTGTGATCTGTTTGCTTAATGTGTGTCTGTGTGTTTGATTACGTGTGTTTTTATTCAGTAATTGGATACTGAGCATGCAGAGTGTCTCAGTCAACCTTGATCTCTGAATGAAATTGCAGAGAAAACCTTTAACAATCCATCCTGCTCAATATATCAGAGGCAAGAACAAAGAAAAGGGAAAGAAGAGACTTATCAAGCAGTGAAATCGTATGTGAAGTGAAGGCATGGGAAAAAAAGATACTAAGACATAATAAATACGATTTTAGGAAAAGACGAAGTGTGTTGTTTATCAGATATTATATATTATATTATGTTGTTATTTTACATTCATACTAATTTTAGTTAGAGTTTGAGTTTTTAACTTTTTTTTTTTTCTTTTTTTTTTGGTTGTATCGTGCTCTACCTCTATAAAAGAATATAACAGAAAAGAAAGTTCTTTAAACTGAATTTAGATTTAATTGTTAGTTAATTATCTATGGCAGAACAGTGAGGGAGAGGGTGAAGATGCCTTTGGAGAAAAGCAATGCCTCACACTGAGTTGCATCTGTATGTGTGTGTGTGTGTGTGTGTGTGTGTGTGTGTGTGTGTGTGTGTGTGTGTGTGTGTGTGTGTGTGTACCCTCAAAATGAGAAATTATGAGATAGACAGCCATGCCATGGAACAGATAGGAGTTCAAAAAAATCAACTTCAAACATCAAATCAGGCACAGAGACACAATCAGAGATTCAGATAGTTCCAGTTATGAGTGTGTGAGGATGTGCCAGAGAGGACGGGGATGGTGAGGAATAGATATGATGATGACGAGAGAGAGGAGCTCTGCTTGCGCAGTAATGTTGTGCCACACATCAGACAGAGCCCTGCATTATTTAATGATCTGCAGATTGCTCTGCCCTGTGCACTGTGAACCCCAATAGCACATCAGAGGAACAGCCACAGATGTACACACAACTTATTTGATCTTCTCTGAAGAGGAGGATTCATGTCTATTGATTATTGGAGAGAGACAAAGAGACAACTTGAGTGGGATAAAATAACGTTTGACAAAAACAGAATAATGAAATGTATTATTATAGTACATAAAACTTTATAATGTCTTCTTTACAAACTTTTATTTTGGTATTTTGTGTTTCATGAAGAACAACAGCAGTGCACTACTATTTGTCCTTTGGAAGAGATGGTTAAATGGATGGACTTTGTTCCTAAATTGGGAAAGGATTTTCTTAGCAGCATGTTATCCAGGTGTAACAACAGTAAATACACAGTAAAAAGGTGCACTTAGAATGCAGTTCTCTTTCAGGTGTGTCTGCATGACCACTGCTGTATTGTGTGATTGAATAAATTCAACCCACAATTGACCAACCCCCATCTAGACACCAATGGGCTGTAAGGCGTCGGAAAACACACTAAACTCAAAACAAGTCGTCGTATAGGACACATCATACAATCTTGCCAACACAAAATTAAACTCACGAGCTGTCAGCGTCTGAGTGGCAGTGACGTACTCAGCATTGTGTGTACTGGTAGTTCCGTTAGCTGCTCGCTAAGCGCAAAACACAATGTCACTACAATAAAAAAAGTGAGCAAAGTTTTTCCCCCCACTGTGTCCCTGGCCGCAGAGTAGCAGATGCACACAGCTGTGTTATCACTAGCGGCCACTTCCGGTCTGGGCCTGTTAAGAGTAGCGAGTGAGGAGTCTACAGGCAGTCAATGGCAGTATAAAACAGGCAATAAAAGCTGGTTTGAGAAAGTATTCGTCACTGCAACCATGAGAGGTCCTTGAGCATGCAGTCATAAGTGGGCACCCGAAATAGTATGCAGTTTGCTCCAGCAGAATGTGAGATCAGCCGTGGACAGACACAGAGGTGCACACTCACTCTTCCTGGCAGGGATAATAGAGAAACATATTGACACTAGAAGAGCGATGCATATCTATAGAATACAGAATATTAGAGTACACTATAAATATACCTAACTACTACAATTAAAACATAAACAGGAGGAAATAACCACAAATCGATCGCACATAAAACGATCACGTTGAGTGGTGCCCTTTAGATGAGATCATTTCATCTCTACAAGCACCAGTTGCTCTGTGGTGGAGTGAATGCTGCCACCTGAAGCACTTTGGCAAATGCATGAAGCTCTAATCTTACACATACAAACACATACAACATAAAGGAAGTAAATACTGATGCAAACTGGGTGTTCACAACAACTAGTGTGGCGCAGGAAATGACTTTGTTCACTATAGGCAAGTTTTGGCTATACAGTAGCTTTCAATTTAAAATACAAGATGTCCCTCTTGTATTCACTACCACTGTGACTGACATATGCACATCGTTTATATTTACATCGTAACTTTATATTTTACCAAATTCAAATGTTGTATGCATGCTGCGCTTATGAGCATCGCTGTCTGATCTTCTTTACTGCCATGCAAACTGCTGGACTAATCCTTCTTCACTTTGCCCTTTCTTCATTCTCCCTTTATTTGAACAATGTGTAACTATAAAATATATCCTCATTCAGCTCACCCTGCAGCCACCAATATTGTAGAAATAGTAAAACTACAAGCTTTAGTTTCTTTGTAAGTGAACATCTCCTCAATAATTATGAACAGGCAACTTTGATCCTAGTTGACAAAATGATCCTGACAATAGTGTTCTTGTAAATTGAGTTATTTGATTTTACGCAACTTTTTGCTTGCTCTCCACCACAAAGTCAATCAAATTTAAAACATTTTGCTGACATTGCTCCTTTTTTTGTTTTGTTTTTACAAACATTCAGTTCTGTCTCAAGCGTTATCTCGCTCGATATATAAAGTTGTATAGCTTTGTTGATCGAGCATTGAAAGTTGCAGTTTGACATATTCTGAACTATAATCTTAAACTGTGAGCAATCATCCCTGTTCTTTGTATATATATATATATATATATATATATATATATACATATACTGTATATATACACCCCTTTTAAATGCATGACTGACTGTGTTAAGACTTATATTTCTTTTTTGTTTGAAGACACAGTGCAAGCGTTTTCTTGATTTTCTCATTTTCTCATTTGTCTTCATCAAATGCAGTACAGAAAATATATATATCGACACCAGCCACAGTAGGCAGCTAAACTAGAGCTGCTTGGCTGAATAAAGTGGAGTCAGAAGACCGTCTGGCTTTGTGTCAGACAGCCAGTCAGCTGGGAGTTGCAGTGATAGACTCATCACTGCTGGAACGGCCTTTTTTATTGGCCTTTTTTTCCTCATTCTGCAGCACAGATGGGCTCGATACACAGAGAAAAAAATCTGAATATGAGCCGAGTGAAAGACATATTTTGTTGACCCAAATTATATTTCAAACATGTCTACTACTGCTGCTACTACTACTACTACCAACAATATTTTTTCATTTTTCATTCAAGCTCACTGTTCTAAGTAAGTTCTAAAGTATTTAGCTCGAGTACATTAATACTATGCACCAATTTCAATCATACCTGAAAACCTGAGAAGACACCAGATACATTTAGAGCTCCAATTTCACTCCATCTGTGGTGCACAAACATCATCTCTGAAATTGCACAAATTTACAGCACAGCTTCATCTTTTCAGGGTCAGAACATCTCCATCTTATTTAAATATAGTATCTACTTTTACTCTGCAGATGTTAAATTGTAAGAGCTTCTTAGGTTAAAATGCAACAATTCTGCAGTTAAAGCTGCCACCATCACTGGAGGGGAAACATTTGTGTTATTGATAGCGACAGTATTTTAGATTGTTTTTTGGTCTTTAAGTTAGAATGATGTTGATTTATAAAAGAAATTATAACAATTTAAAAAACAACAACAAGCAGCTTAAACAGCAACAAAATATCACGTAAATGTCAAACACAGAAAGACTGAAAGGATGTGTGGGCTGAAACCATGGATTATTACGCCGACACTAATTAAGATATTTGAAAGAGATATTTGCTTTCTCTTTTTGCAAACATGTTTGGAACCTTTTTTATGGCTGCACAAAATGTTTCAGATTACATTTTGCACTGATTGGATACAACTCCATTTTCAGACTGTCATAGTTTGACAGCTGTCTGTCAATACCAGTTTAGAAATCTTTAGGATTTGCTTTGTAACTTAAAGAACATTTCAAGACCGCATATTCCCTGCGATTGATTTGAAACTAAATCCATAATGGTTGCATGAGCCTTCTCAAACTCCTGGGAGATTCCAAAAATATGATTCAGTTTCAAGCATCACTGTTAACACGCACAGCATGAAGGTGAATCCCTCTTGAAATGAAATTTAATGGCTTTTGTGTCAGGTTTTTATTCACCACTGGTGAATAGCTTTGTGTTTTTCATAGAGAGAGAGAGTGAGAGAGAGAGAGAGAGAGAGAGAGAGAGAGAGAGAGAGAGAGAGAGAGAGAGA